AAAAAGGTTTCTAAAGATCGATTCCATTGGATATTCTTCAGAAATAACATAATAGCGTTTGAGATTTATGGGATCTTGAACTTTAGTGATATTTCCAGCTTCGAAAACAACGAGGCTGAAGTGACTGCTGTGGTCGCGGACTACTCCGTGTCGGCTTCATGAAAAGCGGGGTTATTATTATCGGGTCCTCGGCCCACGGGTAGCTCCATTAGAAGATGCAAATGGGAAGATCCAAGAGGGTAATCTTTCCCTCTCCGCACCGCCACATTCTAGCCCGAAAGAGGAAATGTAATCCGCCAAACTCCGCGTACATTTTCCTACGCGAAGTCCACATCTTTACGAATAGTCATAGAGGTAACCATCAAGGGCCTATCGTAGCAACCCCCGGTCCGGATGCCCGTCTGAATAGGTACAACTTGATGAGTTCGGTCCATGTCGTTTCAAGCATAACGACATCAACTTGCCTCAATACAGTACGCGGGCATGTTGAGGGATGTCTGAGCATGATACGCCCGGAGAGATATGGAAGAGTCCTCTACCGTCGCTCTTAGACATCAGCGTTGCGAGACGGGCTGGCCAAAGAGGTCTGGACGAAGATACACTCCCAAAGCAAGTCTTACGCATTGCTGTATCTTTCAAGCTGTTGTTAACGTCGGCGATGCAGAGACAGTCAAGATGACTCTGTCCGATCCATCTCAATCGCTCCGTCGATGAGTCAACATGGCGTCGGAAGACCATTCGAAGACAGGGAAAAAGCGAGGTTATTCATGCACTACATTCATGACCTCTCTACATGGGCAAGTAATCATCTTGAACATAAGTGTACCCGGAAATAGCGATCGAGGACTAATGTTAAGAGTTGTACAGGTGGACGTTAGCGATAAGCGTCGACATTTCGGAACCGAAGTGCCCAAAAGAGCATGTCATTCACCTCTGCTTGCATACGCGATCATAGCATTGGCGTCTCGAAGCCTCTGCTGCATCAAAGGAACCGATGACTCCAAACCTTCTACCTACTACAGCCACGCCTTACAAATTTTGATTCCGATACTGGGTAGCTCTACAGAGGCCCTCAACGAAGAAGTACTTGCTGCGATTGTAATATTGAGACAATACGAAGAAATGACTGGTGAGAGTTACGAAGTTGAGTTGCGACTATTTTCGGAAACTGACTTTCTTTCTGAAGATACCGACTTTGGCGTTCATTTATCCGGCAGTTCCAAACTTCTCAACTCCATGTTCAGCCTTGCGAGTAAAGGTGGACTGGGAGAAGCAGCGAGTTGGATCGTATTGCGCCAGGACTATTGGGTCGCCCTGGTCAAATCCCAGCCTCTGAGCATCAACTTGGACAGCTACAAAGGTTCTAACTCGTTCGTTGTTTCCGATCCAGAATGCCTCGCCAACCGCGCCGTCTTTTTGTGCGCGCAAGCATGCGCATACGCCTTTCAACCCACCATGGTCAGAGACCTCGATCGATGGAATAAACTCAACCAGGAGCTGGGGAACTGGCTCGTCTCTAACCCTTGGCACGCGGATCCTCTTTGGGTAGACCCACCGCATGATACGAGTGCCAACGGATCTGCTTTTCCAACAGTATGGATGACGCACCCTGCGCATGGTGAGACTTAACATCGACAATTCGTCTTCAATCCCTGGAGAAGCTAACAGCTCGTGCTTTCAGTTGTGGGATACCAGCATTACAGTCTTGCGCGCATGATATTGCATATTTTCAACCCATACCTAAGCAAACCGAGCCTTGATACCTTCAGGCGGAGGAGGGAATCAGAGGTGAGTTCCAGAGTTTTGGCATTAATCTACGATCCAACTGACATCGCTCAGCAAGCAGTTCTCGATAACTTCCGTCTCCTTCTGGGCCTTGCAATCAGCAACCCGCTGGTAGTCAACGCGAGTTTCACAGCAGCCCATACATTAAGAGCTTGTAAGCGCGCCCGCCTGACCCTGACACGAAGGAGCATGTGGCTGACTAGTGTTTTGTGTTCGAATTTACAGGTGGCATCTATCTCACGGACCCCAAGGAGCAACGCGAAAGCCTAGATTTGCTCGATAAAATACATCAACGGACTGGATGGCGGACGAAGGACTTGGAGGAGCAGCTGAAATCTCAGTGGTCACAAGATAGTTGCAATAGTGCCTTTGGCCATCTTTTTGCAGAGGCTCGGAAGTGATAAAATTCGAAACCACCTCGGCCTTTCTTGTACCCATCGCGTTTCCCCGCGGAGACGAAGCTTTAAGCAAATGCTCAAGGCAGACATTAGGTTTCGGCATAGTTAATTAATGCTGCCTGCCGGCTATCTCTATTTCCTAGCAAGAAATGATAATCTGTCGAGACATATATGACGAAGTCAAATTCTATCTCTTAGTTTACCTACCTACTAACGTTCATATACATGAATCTACATGGATCTACATGCCCCTTTGGGAATGTATGCGGAGGTGTACAGACGTTCTCCATAGACAAGAACTGAGGGAATATCTTCTATTTTCATTAAGCAAGAGAGGGATTTCTATCAATTCCCAATAACTTTGTCTACAACTTCGCCTGCTTGTCAAGGCGCCGTCCAATCTCATCAAAGTACAACTTCTTGCCCGACTCCAGTGCCTCTTGTAGGTAAGACCCAATCTGCACAGCCTTGACAGCGTTGGTCAACTTCAGCGGCAGCTTGGTGTTGTCCAGCGCAGCAGCCGTGAATTCGTTGGCCTCCTGTACAAAGGCATACTCGAACCGACCGTAGTAGTGGGCGGGAACCTCCCTTGTGATACCCTGGGGTCCGTAGTAGTTAACAAAGTTGGCTTGAGGGTTGCCATTGACTGTGAGCTTGCCGCCGGTACCGATAAGCTCTGTTGTATCCTCTTGTCCGTGCGCCATCATACGCGAGTTGTAGAAGTAGGCGATCTTGCCGCCCCAGAACTCAACGATGCCGACGGCATTATCGCAGTCGCCGTGCTCCTTGAGCTCGGGAGAAACAGCTGTGATGCCGGATGCTGAAACCGACTTGACTTGGGAGTCCTCGCCAAAGAACCATAGTGACAGGTCAATGTCGTGGACTATAGTTGGTTGTTAGTATAAGCAGCCAATTACACTTGGATGATCGGGAAGAATACTGACCACTCATGTCAACAAAACAGCCGCCGTTGAGGGCCGCATACTTGACAAAGAAGCCACTAGGATCATGCTTGTCACATGTTTGAGATCTGATAACGGAAGGTCTGCCGATCAAGCCCGTCTCAATCTTCTCAAAAGCGTCTCTGTATGACGAGTCGAAACGGCGGGAGAACCCGCACATGACCTTGAGATGAGGCTTGTGCTGCGCAGCAGTGACGACCTCCATGGACTGTGGCTTATAAGCAATGAATCTGCAAGATTGGTGGTTGGAAGCTACTGACCTTGGCAAGATCGAGAGAGATGGGCTTCTCGCACAGGACGTGAAGGTCCTTGTTGATTGCCTTGATGGCTTGATCGGCATGGACCTTGGTAACGGTGGCAATGACGACGGCTTGTAGGCCCTCGTGAGTGAGCATCTCGTCGTAGTCGGTGTAGAGAGTGACCCCGTGAGGCTCCAGCTCCTGTCGCGCCCAAACAAGCTCGTTCTCATCCGGGGTGAAGGCTGCAACGAGCTGCGCGCGGGGGGTGCGGTGCAGGAAGTTGATGGCATGACGCTTGCCCATACGGCCGAGGCCAGATGCCGCGATTCTGAGTTTCTGAACCATTTTTGTGTATGTGATTCGTGGATAGACAAGAAGATGTGCTCAAGCGTCTTTGAAGGTGTATGAATGCAGGTATAGCAACGAGATGGACGGTGAGAGAAGACTGGCATGCTGGAGTGATCTGGAGAACCAGGCACGAGCTCCTCATCTTATATTTGCGAGCAAGTAACTGGCATGCACGAATATGGAGCTCCTCAAGTGATAATCTGAACCAGACGTACTCACGATGATACTGAATACGGTTAGAACTTCCTTTCTACCGGTGTTCTGCGGCATTCGGGAAACTGATAGCGCAAGATGCCATGGCTAGAGGCTGAAGCTGTTGCAAACAACATCGAAAAAGGTTGGCTGAAGAGACCAATCACCATCGCCAATTCGTCTGAGTAGTTGTCAGACAACGGAGAGCCTTACCTTTCAAGACCAACATGGAATAATTCACGCGCGCCGTGGCGATCCCGAGCGCGGGGAAGTGGGTCCGGGGCAGAGGCCGAGTCAGTGGATCGTCTTTTGGGGTTTCGCTCGAATTTTACTCTTTTAGTTGAATGTAGCAATGCCTTCCGCGACGGTCTGTGGTTAGACTTGGTTCCAGAAATCCGGAGACTTTTTGAATTTCCATTACCCCAGAAACATATGAGATCACGATGAACACGAGCAAATACGGATTCCCAGCAGAAGCCAGAGAAGTTTCTTCGCAGTAAGATATGTTGTCAAAGCTTTGTTGGAGTTTGAGGCTATCCGTAGGGCGGAAACAAGAAGATTAGATGAGGATGCTGCCCATGCCGCCCATGTCATTTACAAATTTAGCTTACAGTTCTGATTGCGCCTTCTTCGTAAATCTACTATGAACCCAATTGTGATTGTTTATCAACCGAAAAGACTACATAAGCTCAAACCCAAACTCAGTACCAGACGCCTACTGACATGCAGTATGCACGAGACTATTATTGTAACATCTGGCCCAGATGACTTTGAGACGCCATCGGCGACATTCGGCGTTCTTGCCGCACGTCTCCAATTATTGTCCCCGCACGGAAAGTCCTCCTTAGTTCGACAGACTTGGATAAAACCGCGCGAAAGACCCCAGTCCCTCGCCCGTGTAACAATAGTGTGTACAATGGCCACATCCCACACCAGCCGCCAGTTCTTGTTCGCCTTTCCCCCACAAACATGCTGCTTGCCTTTTGTTGTCCCACACCTGAGCCGTCTGCCGCTGCCGAAGAGGAATCGCCGCCCTGCAGTGTAGGTCAAAGACCGTCGCTGTTTTCTTGCCTCAAATGCCCACTCCGGGAACCGTAAGGAGGCCGGGCTGCGAAAGCTGTCGCTCAAGGTATGTTACTTTGACCTATATGCTCATTTTATTATCCGTCTGTAAATTTTTCGTCCCTTGCCTTGGGAGGAAGGGCAGCCGATGCCCTGGCCTCTCGGATAGGCTTGCGGAACCCGCGGAGATACCATCCATTTCCCTCGGCCGCAGAGCCCCTCGCTCCTCAGCCCGAGACCGACAACGGATCGATCTACCTCGTTGCCCCGGACAGTTCACTAATCTGATTTTGTACTGCCTTCCCCAGACATATCAAATGTGAGTGCGGGGGTGGATACGCCCCCCGTCAACAGTGGCAGTATTGACGGCATTCCGTTCCAATAGCTGACTTATTCACATAGGCGATAAAGGAGCCCCTTGCGGGCAGTGTGTTCGGAAAGGCAGGGCTTGTGTCCGTGGTACCAAGCTCAAGTTCAGACACATTACCGTGCCAAAGTACATTATTTATCCCCCTTCTCAATTATCGGTTCTTCCCCCAACCCCTAGACACGCATCTGACTGCCCCTAACCTGCAGTGATGTCGATGGTAATCGAGGAGAGGCCCAATACGAATTCTCAGATACGCAAAAGTGGTGCCGGGTGTCAGGGAAGAGGATACGCTTCATCGACGAGACTGCCGACATAAACAGCCTCCACAACGATGGATTCGACTCTGACGACGAAGACTTCATCTCAATCGAAGATAATCCCCCGAGTCCACCAGCACCACCGCCGCGGCGGACCAAGAAAAGACAAGATGAATTTGTCAAGCCGTCACCGCCGAATCGTCTAAGCCGTACCTCGGACGCCGCTGCCAACGAAACTGGCCAGAGTCCTTTGCCCATTGAGAAAGGCCAGCCGTACCCCTTGACGAAGTTACCCGCCCTGCACCCTCATCCTGCGTTCCGAAGCCCATCGTCAGGCCACTTGGAGTCAGACGATGCGCCGCGATCCTTCTCTCCGGTGCCTCGGAGCGCCATCAGCGACATTGGTAGCGGGAGCCACTGCGATGACCCTAGCTTGCCCGAGCCGCGTCGATCCTTCAGTTCCGCCAACTTTCCGTTGGAAGACCGTCGTGAGGCAGATTTAGTTCGCCACTTCAGGGAGTTCATCGCAGCCTCGTTCGACTATGGCGACCCGCATAACCGGATCTCGGTTCTCCTTCTGCAGCACGCTGCTCTTAGCCCCGTGCTTCTCAATGCTGTCTTAGCTGTGTCAGCAAAGTCAAAAGATGAGGGCGACAGCCTGAACTTCTTTGACAAGCCTGCAGAACGATACTATGAGATGACTATGGAGCTCCTACAGCCTGCCTTGGACGACGCTGTTCCCGAGGTAGATGAGGCACAGATTGCTGCCGCCGTTTTACTAAGGCTTTATGAGAATATCTATAGTACGTCCTCCCACTGCCTTAGAGTAAGATCAGACTGCCTGGATGCGCGGCACTTGAGAATCTGGCGAAATCTTCATAACACCAGGCCCTTACTCCGTCTCGCTGACGTTCGTGATAGTCACACCGTTGTGTCAAAAAACACCAGAAACCCCGATATGGGGGTTCCTTTCCACGCACATCAAGACTCCCGAACACGGTACTCTCCTGGAGGCAGCAATGTGGGCCTGGATACGGATCGAAATCTTCCGGTCCGTAATGCGAAACGAAAAGCTAGACCTCCAAATAGAACATGTCGATTTTGATCGCTCACTCCAACCGGCGGACGATGACATCTGGGCATGGCGGATGTGTCTCCACACCGTCGACGTACTCAACTACTGCTATGGGGAAAACAAGCCTCGCGAGACTTACGAACAGCTGGTATCCTACGCCGCAAAGTGGATGAGATTGGTCCCAGAGTCTTTCACGCCGGTTTTAGTACAAGCCCCGTTGCGCGGTAGCTTCTTCCCAGAGATCTTCCTATTGAACGACTCTGTCGTAATGGGGCTTCTGTTCTACCACATCAACCGTATCCTCTTGACAATACATAACCCAGATGCGCAGCGATTGGCCAAAGTATCCAAACAAGCAGCTCGGTCGATCAACGTAAGTCTCTGTTGTTTGAGGGCTGCAGTTTCTCTGCTCACGCATATACTGCAGAACGAGATCTTTACCGACGTGAGAATTCTTGCCGGCATGGCAGACTCGATCAGCCCTTGTAATCCGGCTCACATGTAGGATGATGAGCTCTTGGGATATCTGGATGATCACTCACTCATCAACAGATCGGCCTGCATGGCAATAGTCTTGGCGGGCGACCGTTTCACCACACGGGAAGAGCAAGAAGTCCTCTACGAACTGTTATCAAATACTGCGGATGATTTCAGCTGGGATGTATCATTGATGTAAGTTGGCCCGACTCCTTCGCCAGTCTTGGCCTTGGGACCTAGAACGGAGTGCTGACATCTGGAGGTAGACTGGCGCATTTGAAGAAGTCATGGAACTGGCCGGAAGACATGATTGTATAGCTCGCTTCTGGCATTTTGCTAGAACACTCCCCCAAGCTTGTATAGATAGATAACTTTGCTACCCTGGTTCAAAGGCTCCATCAGCCGTGATTCCTACGCCCCGCCATCCTGACTGCTTTCTTTACGGTTTGGTCAAGTTCCAGCGCCATGCATTCTTGAAATTCTAACCCAAACCAACTGGCTGCTTACGACTCTCGGTACTGCACCGTCCATGAATAACTCTCCGATACTTCGCCTTGATTCTTGTGGAACTTGCCAGGTCCTGGAAAGTCTGGTGCGCAGTTATGATCTACTTCGCCCTGAGTGATGCATCGACGTTTGCGACGGTTCCGTAGCGGCTCTCAAAGTCATCCCCCCTGAGCATCAAGCCATCATCGCCACGTCTGTCTGACGTAAGCCGATCGTTCTCGGATTGCTGCTCAACCTCGTAAAGCTGTGGGTTGTGTTTCCTACTTGGACATTAATGCTTCTCTCATAATTCCTGTTTCTAAGGGTTCGAACTCACAAGTCCCGCTTGTAGAGGAAGTCAAGCAGATACATGCCCGCGACGGCAAGCCCACCGAAGAGAATGAGTACTTGGTAACCATACTTGTACTTGGGGGCGTCGTATGTTGGAAATAGCACAACTTCAGGAGACAATATGTCAACATCCAGATGATTAAGGCTTGCAGGATGAATATCACCTCGGCATGAAATCAGACTTACCGGGCATCCAAGCACTAAAGGTGTAGGTGAAGATGTTGCCCGTAGCTACCAGCAGCTGTCGGAGGTTCGCATTTGATTGCGTGATCTCGTGCCCATAGCTAATGACAATCGGCTGAGCCGCACCGCCGGTATAGCTCAAATAGAAGGCCGCGAATAAGGCCGCCTTGGGAACGTTCCATATCGACAGGATGACGTTCGAGACAAGCACCATTGCCTGCACGAACACGACCGTCAGGACGCGGCTACTCGTGGAATCCGAAAGCCAACCCATGGCAAACGCGGCGACTATCTGGATGGCGTTTCCTGAGTATGGGAATGGCTTTAGCACCTGTCACGTTGAATTGCAGTCGCTATTTGGCATACCTATCGTCGGGAGGATGTTCGTCTTAACGACGCTGTAACCCTCAGACTTGAGAAAGAGGTTAAAGTACCCGGTGCCAGACCCTGCTTCTGCCACCATGAGATACGGAAGTATGAAAGCCCAAAGCTGCCACGAGGTGTATATCTCCCTGATAGCCTTCAGAGTTAGCTTTGATGGTGGTTTGCGACCCATGTTCCTGATGCGCTCCATGCCGTATGCACGGTCCTATTGATAGTGGTCAGCCTGCATTGTACGTCCGGCTCGGCTAACACATTGAAGATTGGATCTTACGTTATTGTTAAGGTAGAAAGCCCTAGTGTTGTGTGGTAAGTCAGGGAGCGCAAAGAATCCATACAATGCAATCGGTATCGAGATCACGCCTGTAAGTAATCAACACAGGCTCCACGTCGCCTTGGAATTCTGCCGACGACTGACCATCCATGATGAACAGCCACCTCCATCCCGACAATCCAGCCGTTCCATTCATCCCAGTGTAAAGTCCTGCCTGTAGGTATCCACTGAACATACCAGCAATCGCAGCTGTCTGCTCAAACAAAGCCATACGCTTGGCGAGTTGAGACTTGCCGTACCAACTCCCTAGTATGCTAGCAAAACCTGGAAAAGAACAGGACTCGAGAAGTCCTATGAAGAATCGTAGAGCGTATAGCTAAAGATAGGTTCTGGATCAGCGACATTCTACTTTCATGCTGCTGAGAGGGACAGAAACATACCGTCTCCACACTCTTGGCACTTGCCATGACCATTGTCAAGGCAGACCACCCGAGTTCACACGCCGGTATCCAAATCGACGGACGAACATACTTTAACTGGATCATCTGGGCTGGTATAGTACCCAAGATGATACCCATGTTGAAGTATGTGTTCAGAAGATTTCTCTCATTGCCGTAAAGATCAAGCTCCTCTTGCATGCCGCTGACGAACGCATTGCTGTAGTTATTCTGATCGAGGTACTTGATGAAATACCCAAGAAGTACGTAAGAGCTATTGTCAAGATCAGTTAAAACAGATTTAAGTTAATAAGAGCCCGACTCACAAGAGGAAGGTGTCCAACTTGCGAACATATTTCCGCTCTCGTGGGTCATCCCCCCAGACCTTTCGTGGGATGTTTGAGAGTATCCTCCATCTACCAACCTCGCGAGATACGAGTTGAACCTCGGGGTCTGTAGACACCACAAAATCTTTCTTTCTGCTGTCGCTGGTCATGTTTCCAAACGGCAAATGAACAAATTGCTAAGCCGATTGGAGCGTGAAAAACACCTTCATCCCCCGACGCGTGCAGGTCATATAGCGTGACCCGTTCCTACTTGAAGCACGCCATTGCTTCTGATGATGATGACCCTCTATCCTCTTCTTCCGTCTTCAGTGCAGCACGAATTTCGGAAACTGCCCGATGCAAGCCACAAAAGAGCCATGAGGCATGCCGGCAAGTGCAGGCTTACCGGGGTTTCCGGCAATAACCAAGGCCTTTGGATTTCGCAATCAGAAAAGAGGAGAGCGACCTGATGTCCAGATCCCTTACCAGGGGCTTTAATTCAATGATGTTGGCAGTTTTGTCGCGAAAGATAAGATGGAGACATGATGTGGTTCCTCTGACCAATGTGAAGGCACAGATGTCATGACGAATCTCCAAGGATGATGTCGCAACGAGGAGGACAAGATCGCGTGCTAGCATGTACAACCCCCAACACGGAAACAAGCATCCGGCCAGTTTTATATCAGGCCGGTTGGTTCTGGTGTTATCAAGGGAAGCAGAGCGCATGGATTGCTCACCAAATTATTGATGACCCCCATCACAATGGCGACAGAGGTTAGCACGGAGGTTACGAAAGAGCCTCAAGCGATCCAGCTTCGGGCAGAAACATCCATCAACTACGATAAGAAGAGCGTCAGTATAAATAGTCTTTCCTAACGGGGAAATTCTGATCGACTTTAGTACAAATATGAAAGCTACCTGCCACATTTCGTACCCGGAACTCAGCCTCCATTGGAAGAGTTTCAACATGACGATGTCGGTTTGAGGGCTGATCCGACCAAGAAGAATCTTCTAGGGGCAACCGGGGTGAGCTATGAAGAAGTTACCCCAGCGATAGGTACCGAGGTCCACGGAATCCAACTGAGTCAACTGAGCTCTGCCAAACTTGATGAACTGGCACTTCTCGCAGCCGAGCGTGGTGTGGTGATTTTCCGAGACCAAGACTTTGCAGACATCGGACCTGAGAAGCAGAAAACCTACGGAAGACATTTTGGCCCATTGCATGTCCATCAGATGGGCGGTCAGATCAAGGACTACCCAGAGCTACTCCCTGTGTACCGCGACTTCACGTCAGTTCATCGCGACGACGAAAGCAACAGACGATTGACAGACAACGCAGGGCAGGTGCTGTCGATAACGAGATCAAAGACAATGTCACCAGCGTGAAGTGGCACAGCGACATGAGTTATGAGATGTAAGCCCGCTGCGAATGGTTCAGTCACACGTCATTGCATTAGAACCTGACAACATGCAGCAACGGGATGGGTACGACGACCTTTTTGCCTCTGAGCGCTCCATTATCTGGGGGAGATACTCTTTACCTCTCCACGACAGCAGCCTACTACGCTCTCTCAGAAACTTACCGTACGTTGCTTCACAGCTTGAAAGCTGTTCACTCCGGTTTCTCTCAAGCTTCGGTGAACGACCACCGCGACCGGTACATTAGGGAACCCATTGAAACCATCCATCCAGTGGTGAGAACTCACCCCGTCACTAAGCAGCTTTCTCTCTATGTCAATCGGCTGTACACGAAACGTATTGTCGGTATGAAACAGGAGGAGAGTACCGCCCTGCTAGGATTCTTGTTCGACCACATCGAAAGGGGCCAGGACTGGCACCTACGGGTTCACTGGAGGCCGGGGACGGTCGTGGTATACGACAACAGAAACACTCAGCACTCCGCGCTGCGAGACTTTAGGGTGGAAGAGGGGACAACTAGGCGGCATATGTTGAGGATTACGCCGCAAGCGGAGAGGCCCTACTTTCAGCAGCTACAAAGCTTTTAGTGATAGCCCTGTGGCATATAGCCATGGTACGTTCTGCAATCTATTGACGTCTATCCCAATGTTTCAACCCCGCTACGTGTTTGACGGAAATGCTAGATCCTTAGAGCATACTAGCCTGCCAAGCAACAGCAGTTCCCGCTGCATGCAGGTGTAAAGCTCACCAGGCCTTCCTCCGCATTGTCTGGGCTTCCACAGGACACACTATCGTCCCTGCTCTTCCCGAGTAAACAAGGTGACAGGATGAGAACCGTGAGATGCTGGAGACGACGCTTGGATTGTTCATTCAACCGTGCATGTGAATCTGGTCCACGGTTTGTCACGTAAGGGGTCATTTCCGGACCCCTTCCAGACCCATCCTGCAAACAAACTATCGCCAGCCCCGTCATCCGTCCGTCATCCGTGTACCTGAATCCTGGTAGCAGGAGACCCACTGGTCTCATTCAAGAGCCGTCTGGATGTCTTGTTTCCTGGCTTGTGCGCACGGTAAAGAATCTGCCGACGAACCCATGTCGGAAGGGACGCCGCGGCGACGGACCGGCCAGAAGCCAAGACGCTCTAGCGAGCGTGCCATTGAACATTCAGCCCTTTGACTTGATCCTTCGAGCCTATGATTTCCGTCAAGAACAATAGTAAGGAATCTGAGGTAAATGTCTTACATGTTGAATTAAATGCCGGAACAGGAAAGCATAATCGCTGGGGAAACATGCTCACAACGTCCTGGATTAGGTTGTGAAGCTGCTAATGTCAAAGAGGGGCTTGGCGTTGAAAGGTTGGAGAAGTTTGGGCTTGTGGCGCCCTAGAAAAGGACGTGAAGGCTGTCTCGGTTCCCCTGGGCTGTTAATTAAAGCCGTCGTGTTCTTGTTCATAGCCACACTGTTTTATGTCTCGCAGTAGTGCCTTGTGTATGGTATTAGAGTTGTAGCTACCGAAGTTTCAATCTGACAAGTGACAGATATTATCGTTTGGCATCTTGAGGCGACTAGGCATTCGATTCACATTTGCAAGGAGGGTCTTGAGGAACCATGACTGCGTCGCATCGCGGGACTTCCGGACGATGACCCGGCACATATCCCCGGGCCGATCTCCCTCGCTAGGGGGGTATGGATCGGAAGTATCCCGACCGCAAAATCCATTCTTTCAAAAAAGTCAGGTTTGCTGCCGCTGACCTAATGAAATTACTCATGTCTCGTGAAGCCAGAGGACTACTGAGTTTGTTTCAAGGATTGTCCTCAGAGGCTCAGCCACTGGCTCGGTCGGCAGTAGCGAAATAGCAAGTGAAAAGCCACTAGACGACGAGCTAGACGTACGCGAGATGCTTTGCACGGCCACCATTTCTGACGTGGTATGTCGGAACGGTGATAGATCTATTCTAGCGCTCCTTCGAGAAAGCAAGCCACAGTTATCCCACTGGTCAGCCTCCTCGTCCGTTCACCGGAGCCTATATCCCAAGAAAGACTGGCGGCAAACGCTCTAGAGCTTGACTTAACGCGGATGAGGCATTCCTCCCGCCGCCGTCCCGAGTCCGTCGCCGGATCTGGACACTGTCTTAAGGCAAAGCTTTCCAGAGGCTCGGAGCTGGCTGCTCGTTTGTGTCGCCTTACCTCATCGCAAATGATCCCCCAAAATCAAATCTTCTTTGAAGCTAGGAGAGCTCCGGTGGGGTCAAGACAGAGACTTTCCCTTCTTTTGAGTCTTCAATGAGGGACGGACGGCGCATGCCGAGCTCTCCGGACGCACGACCCGACGCCGTCGACTGAAGGCTTCGGATTGAGCTCTGAAGATGGAAACGCGACACAACAAGACCCATCTACCCCTGGCGTTAGCGCCCGGTGCACGGGAACGACGGTGTCTTGTGATTTCTGCGGCCCGCATCATTCTCTTCATTTTCGTACTTGTTTAAGGACGGGGAATTATAAAGAATCGTACGACCTTTGCCTACCTCCCCCCTCCCTCCCCACGAACCCCATAAACCTTGCATCTTTTCAAGTGGGAACTGGGAGGGCCTGCTCCAGAGAAAGGACCCTTGGCAAACATTTTAACCCGAGACCTACGAGTCAACATGGCACCCATGATTGAGAACCGCGGATCCGAACTCCTGGCCGTCAACATCTTCTTCATCTCGGCGGCAGTGTTAGCCACTGCGTTGCGATGCTACGTCCGGGCTGGCCTGGTCAAGGCTTTTGGAACAGACGACTGGCTCATGGTCTTGGCTTTGGTACGCATTACTCGAGTTGCATGGTGATTGTGCAAACAGACACGAAGACATGACTAACTCCACCAAAGGCCTTCTTCATATGCTACTCGACCTTCTCAATATTGGGTGTCCATTATGGAACCGGAAGGCATTTCGCGGATATCGAAGATGACCACATCACTAAAGCGCTCGAGGTGAGCAACTATTCCAAAACTATGCAATTTCCGCTTGTGATATTGGAAGTATACTCACATGGTCTCATAGTGCTGGTGGTTCTGCTACCTCTTCTACTCCCTCAGCATGATCGTCTCGAAGATGTCCATTGGATTCTTCCTCCTGCGAATCACGACCCGAAGACTCCACAGTTGGATCATCTACATGGCCATGATGTTCACTGTCTTGGCCGGAGTTGTCTTCTTCTTCGTGACACTGTTCCAGTGTCACCCAATCTCGTTCTTCTGGAATAAAAGCCAGCCAGGAAGCTGCATCGATGTCAATATTGTTATTGCATTGGCATACTTATACAGTGCCTTCAGTGTCATATCCGATTTGACATTCGCCATTCTCCCAGCCTTTTTGGTTTGGAACCTCCAACTGCGAAAGAAGACCAAGTTCGCTTTGATTCCATTGCTGATCATGGGTTGCGTGTGAGTACAATGAAACTCCATTGGCAACGTGAACGAAACTAACCATTCTATTAGTGCCAGCTCAGCTGTCTTGGTTCGCTTTGGATACCTCATGGGCCTCAAAGACGCCGACTTCCTCTGTGAGTCTACCATCTTAAGCAACATCTTTCCAGGCACAGATCAACTAATTATAGCGTAGGGTCCACTCTCGACATCGCCATCTGGTCATCCGTAGAACAAGGCCTCGCAATCACCGCCGGCAGCCTCGCAACGCTTCGACCCCTTCTCAAAGCCATCGGCTACAAGCTAGGCATGACCTCGAACCCATCCCCACATCGCGTTAC